GATCTACCAGCGTCCAGGAGTACGGTATTGTGTCTAGTACGGTGAGGTTGCACAGACATCACAGTTTCACGACGCCTAATCCAGCTGTCCGCTCCCTTCTACTTCCTCACACTCTCTATTCCTGGTAGCTGGTGGACGCTGCTAGGAGCTAGATCGATACCCATACTTTCCTGGTTCCTCGAGACGCTAGTCGCTGGCGGACGTGGTGGAGCTGCCGCAAAGTATGAACGCAGCCTTAGAGAGGTAATTTTCACCCGATGACCTTCTTCCTATTTACCTTAGCCCTAAAAAACACAAGTGAATAAAATAGATATAGATTTAGTCTATCCTCGCATACTGCCCGTCCGCGTCACGTACACAGTTCTTGCGTTAGCGCGACCTTTCTTACAACATATCCAAACATAGACCCCATACCCGGAGTTGGAGACGGCACGTACTTCATTCAAGCCTGGCTATGGCTGCGCTTCAGGACGGATATTTTAGTTCTGGAACCATCGTAATCATGTCTTCTTCTAGCTTATCACTGAATGGCAGCTGTCTCAAATACAAATATAACACGGAAAAAGCATCGTCCGACATGTTCAGATGAAGTACGCAGCCACGCCCACGCCCAGTCATTGGCCGCGCGACGCGCCGCGTGCCGCGGGCGCCGCCCCGGACGATTCTGTTGCACGTCTCCCGGTTTTTCCAGCTTTTTCCTCAAGGGCTAGTCAAGCACTGCACTTCAGTTTTTCCGTGCTACCTACGAGTTGTTTGACGGCTAATAGCGAAATATTTATCTAAAAAGTCATCCCGGACTTCGTGAACAGGCATTCTTGGAGATTCAATTTCTACCTAAATCTGAGTCCAATCGTCTCAGAGGAATTTGTAGACAGCGCCCACTATGTCCAAGCCCGTCCTTGGCTTGACGAAGATGCGGTCTCGATAACGAGCGAGACGGCGCATGTCACATTGCATCAGTTGCTATGGTAAGAATGGCAAACACAGCCGCTATCGTTCATCATTTGGCCACAAACTACAATCCCTTTGGAAATACTACATTTCGCCCACCTCATAGGAACAAATGGCATAGTAGTTAAAATCAGTTCCAATCATCATCATCGTCAGTTCAAATGGGAATGTGGAAAAATGATCCTGAATTGTTGGCGTTTTCCTGTTTTTCTCAGCACTCTCACGTCTGTATGGCGGTTTGTGACCTTTATGACCCTCCACACTCCAATCTTCACGCATAACAAGTAGGTCCCTCACCCCGGTGTCCTCTCCCGTTGAAAAAAAAATCATCTGCTAGCCTGCGAAACGAATTTTTCTATATCTCTGATGCCTTGGCAGCTACAATCCTCCATTTCTGCACCCTGACCTTTCTTAGCAAGACCCCCATCAAAAGTTTCAGTTCACGTAACTCGGACGCTTCTGTCGTCGTCATGTTTCTTGCTAAACGGTCCCCTACTGAGACGCTACTGGCCGTAGCTGCCACCTCCTTTCCGCTCCTGAAGCCCTTCTTTTGCACCGGACAACTCGTCCAGGCCGCTCATGTTCGGTCGGCCTACACTGGCAAGGACGTCATAGACCCAACTTACGCACCGATAACTTAACGAAGCATTTCCGCCTGTTCCTGGCTAATTTCCGACAATTTCGCACCCTTTCTTTATCAACCCTGCGATTATTCAGCTACTTATCAGGATACTACTCAATTTACTCAAGGGTGATAAAGAGTCTTCCAATAAAGTGGCGTTTTTTGAAGTTGAACAAGCACCTCAATCAAGTAGTCAAGCGATGTGGACGAGTTTCCCGGCGCGACGGGTGGGTGGAGGGCGGAGGGGGGGGGGGGACAATTACGGGCCAGCAGCGGCCACAAGTAACACTAATGACTTGCTGACAGCCGACTGCGCCATCCAAGTAGCACCCTCCAACTTTATTTGCTGGAGCTCAGCAGTCCACGAATCTGATTTGAGGATCGACGGTGGCGCACCACAAAGAATTTATTAGGAATCATTTTCCATAGCATCTTCTTGCTTCTTCAGGTTTTTGAATCTTCAAAACTTTTTAGAGCACAAAAAATGCGGAAATCGGGTCCAGCGCTCTGTAAGGGAGCGCCCGGCGGGCAGGCTCGCAACAATCAGTTGCAAACGCGTTTTTTTGAAACGGCAGTAATCGATTCAGCTACAGTGACAGCGAAGCCACGAAAAAGGTAGAATTATACACCCAGATAAAATAGATGAATACGAAAATAACCGGGGAAAAAATCTGTAAAGGTAGCATTTTTTCACTTGCCAAAATATTTCCGACTTCCGGGCTCCCGATTTTCGAAACCACGCTATCAAGTCCAAACTTTTCATAGGATTTGGGTGTATGCACTTCGTCCTCATAAGGTCATTTTTTGAATTAACAATAACTTACAGAACTTTGAAGACAATTGAGGCAAGAGCGCCGAGTAACGACAAACAGACGACCGTTCGAAACATCTGAAATAGCTCTCTCCAGGAAAGAAATTAATAAGTTTCAGCGCAGAAAGAGTGCCTTATAGGTGTTTTCCGAAAACAATTTTATGAGAGATGTGGTGCAAAAAAAACAAAATGGATCGACAATAGGGTTAGGTTGGCGTGTTTGCGCTCCGGTGAGTGACACAAGTGCTGCCGTGCCCCACAAAACTGGTTGTAACTATCTGCAGGGCGGAGCATTTTCTCTACCTGCTATCAACTCATAAATAACTTGCCTTTAACAAACAACTTGGAATTTTCTAGATGATCAGTAACGTCTCGCCATGTTAAAAGACAAAGAAAGAAAAAGACGTGTCATTTTCTATTGGGGGAGGGGTGGGGTGGCTTCGTCTGTGATCCAGAAAAAGGCTTTCAGTGCTCCCAACTGCCCCAACAGAGTTAAAGCATGTTTCCTGATAAGAGTCCCCTCAAATTCGGTCCTTGCAGATCATCAGGGGTCTTATTAGGGTACTTCGAGTGACTTTTTTTCATTATATCTCCGAGTTACTTAGCACCTTGTCTTCCGCATTTGAAGCGCCACTAGCCACCACTCCTGACCTGCGCGACGTGCCTTTAAAGGCAGTTGGCACGATAAATCCCCCAAGACGAGTAGGATTAATACGCCTGGCAGGACGGAATTCCGCGACCCTGAGCAGGCGCTGCATAATGCCTTTTCCAAGGAGGTGCCCTTATAAGGGCCCTATCAAGCCACAATACCAAACGCCCGCCACGCCCGCCCGCCCACAAATGGACGACCGTTCCTGACGCTCTAATCGATTCATTTGCTAAGCAAATTATGAAGCGAAGGGATTGGTATGAAGCGGCCGTGATGCTGCATGGATATATGAGTACACATATGCAGCCGTATCTTCGATGCTAT